CATAAAACAAACATAAAAGATAGAAAAATGAAATCAATTTACCGTATTTTCTCTAATAGTAGTGCACCGGGTCGAGCCGAGTTGATGACTATTTTACGATTTCCAAGCTTTCCCAGAAGCTCAACACTCAAATCGCCCACAAGATCTCATCGTCAGCTACATTTTCCGACCCCACATCAATAGGTTCTGGTAATCGGTTCTCGAGATTTCGAGGAATTTAAGCGACGCTTAGGGTGCAATTTAAGCGACGCACTACTATTAGAGAAAATACGGTATGTAGAAATAGAATTGTTTCACATAGATTCACGAAATCTTTACAAAAGTTCACAATTCCAGCCGATTTCGAGACGAAAACTGGTTTCTTTTTGAGAGTTTAAGTGCCGATTACTCTCCAACAATTGCACTCTTATAGAAAATTTTTCTAGAAAGAAATCTTTTCGCAAAAGTTTGCAAAATAGCAAAATATTCTTTTTGTTGGGTTTGACGATTATGTAAATAGGAAAAAGGGGAATATTTTTGAACATTTGTTGACCAATAAAAGAATAAAAGAATGAGAGAATCGATTTTGGGAAAATTTTCATTTTTGGATGGTTGATTGATTGATGGATGAGTCAATTGATTCAACATTCCAACAAATCAAAAACAAAATTCATTGTTGAATAAGGAAAAGTCGATAAAAATCGAAGTTTAAAGTCATAATAGATTAAGTAACTGCAGTAAATGAAAGAAATGATTGAGATTTTAACATTTGAAGATCAAAAATTTTCAAAACAATTGAAGATCAAGTCAAAATTGACATCTTTACATGAAAATCTATGTACAATAGTTGAAGTTAGAAGTCTGTAACTGTAGTGCAATCGGTTTTGAAACGCTTGAGAAGTCATAGCTGAAGAAGATCCCCGGAATCTATCTATTGCATAGGAATGGACCGGTTGTGTATCTCTTCATCTCTTCATCTCTTCATCCGTCCTTTCCTTTTCCCCCCCAAACAGACACCTCATAGTCCGGCGACGATTGAAGGGGTGAAAAGTGTGTGTGAGATGAGATGAGGGTGATGAATGGCAAAAGTCAAACCGCTAAAGAAAACTAAAGAAAAGAAGGGACACTGACTGGGTGGAAAGTTCTCTCTGGACTCTTTGTACTCTTTGTACGACTCACTGACATACACCGGTTACCAGCTCTTTCTTTTTGTGTCTTGCCCTGTTCTTCTTTCTACAGATTACAGCCGATTAGTGAAGCATAATCAGCATTTTCGTGAGGCTATGTAAATCATATCGAGCAGTTTTTTTTGCTCTTCTTGATTCTCTTTTCTAGACTGGTAGGACTTTCACTAATACTGAATTCACTAAAACTGAAGTATTGTTTGAATGATACAGAACTTTAGTATTGTTTACTGAAAGGAACTGAAGACAAGAAGACAAGAAGACAAGAAGACAAGAAGACAAGAAGACAAGAAGACAAGAAGAAGAAGCAATTGAAATTCAAGTACAATTAATAGCTTACAGTCCAATAGCTTAAAGTAATCAAGCATACAAAAGACTGCTAGTAACCATTGAAAAAAGTCCAGTGAGCTAAAAAACTGCAATTTAAAGAAGCTAGAATAATTTTAAAAGAAGCTAGAATAATTTTTCAATCTTGTAGCTCAAATACAATCCTGAATCAAATACAAAGTTGGAATTAGGGTAGATCAAAAACTTGTGCGCCGCCGTGACTCGAACCCACGACCTTTCGCGACCAGGCAACTGTGCTAACCATTACACCACAAAGCACTTGTCCCCACTTACTTCAAAGGGAGTTAACTTCATATCTAGTTTCGAGCACACCCCAGTTTTTATAGACGTGTGGAATCGTCTCGTCCAGAGAGGAGGGAAGTTAACTCTCTCTGGAGTAAGGGAGGTATGTTGTGGTGTAATGATTAGCACAGTTGCCTGGTAAGCGAAAGGTCGCTGGTTCGAGTCCCGGCGGCGCACAAATTTTTGATCTGCCCTAGTTCCAACTACCATCTTAAGTCTCAATTTTCAAACCTTCAGAAGCTTTTATGAGATGAGATAGTGACGCTTAAAAGCAAGAAATTTTGAAAACTTAGTACATAAGACATTTCCAAACTAACTTAATATCTTTTTGGAGTAATAGTAAACGTAATAATATTAATAGTAATAATACGCTACTGAAAACTAAAGCAATAGAAAAAAAGCCACAAGTTTCTGAGAACGATGACTAACAGAAGAGAGCAGCTGGAGGTTTTGATTTCAAAAGACTCTTCATTTCAAAAAAGAAACCTCAAGAGTCAAGAAATGATTCACTGAATCGTTGCGGTCAAAACACTTAAAAGAAGAAGAAATGAGTCTGAAGAAGAAGAAGAAGACCAGCTGAGTCGAACTTTTGATCCAACTTGTGAGCTAGATATTTTTCAGCTACATCAAGAACTTCAATATTCATTGAACTTCTCAGAAAGTTGAATTTCAGTTCAAAAAAAGGTATGGCTGTCAAAAATTCAGTTCTCTGTAACAATTCCGATTATATTTAAAGATAGGCTGCTTTAATAAAAGTATATGTTAACCAGCAAAAGATCAAATCGGATAAAAAACAATTAAAGCTGCCAATTGGCTCTATTTCGAATAGTAAGAATAAAATTTGGCGTTGATCTAACGGTTCTAACGATTTGATCTAACATTTCTAACGATTTGATCTAACGGTTCTAACGATTCGACACTTGTGAAGTTGTAAATGGAAATTTAACGTTTCAAAAGAAAAATCAAAAAGCCCAAGTTGAACTTTAGGTTTCATAAGTACCAAAAATTCATTTTCAAAAACGAAAAGTTCGAAAAGTTCTTGGTAGAATAAGCCAGCAAAAGGTGTATCTATTCATATTTACCCCTTGTGTGTTTGCCGCTCTTTTGGGTCCCTTTTGAGAGACAAAAAGTGAAGGGGTGAATTCAGATGAGTGTCTCTGTCTCTGTCTCTGCCTCTGTCGCTTTTTCAATGTGTCGACTGTATGTTTGTCATTTTGAAGCCGCGACTCATTCAAATATTTCCTCTATTTCTTTTTCTTCTCACATTTTCACACAATCATTTGTCTCTTCATCGGCTGTCACTTGGAGAAATGGCGTCAAAAGTGCCACCTAAATTTTAAAAATATGAAATAATCGAAGAAGATGGATATTTTCAATGAAGAGTCACAAAACCGTGCGTACTTTTCGTCACCATTTGAAAAAATGGCATCTGACGCACAGTCCAATCAGATGGAGCGCAAGAGAGCTGCCTTTCGGTTTAATTACCCAAGTTTCAGGATAGCATTATCCACAAAACCTTTCAAAAGTGTCCCGAGAAATTTCGGAACCCTTTCCTAATAGGGACGCAGAAATGGAATGTAAAAACCCGAAAGTTAGAAAGCTTTCATGCTTTTTTGGTTAATTTTTCAAGTTTAATGTTGTTCTGAAGATGGATATTTTCAATGAAGAGACACAAAACCGTACCGTAAATACTGTAATAGTACCCCACTCCCCTCGTACCGTCGCGTAGTCGCAAAAGTTTTTTTAGTATTTCATTTTTTTCAAAGCGCTCGTACTATCAAAAAATGCGTCTTTGGTATCAAAAGATAGCCCTGAATTTCAGCTATTTTTTGATACCTAAACGAGCATTGTAGCATAAACCAGTGTCGAGAAAAACTCGTTCAAAGCTAGAGCTACGCAACACTCCGCACCGTCATTATGGGGGTGGGGTACTATTACAGTATTTACGGTACGTACTTTTCGTCACCATTTAAAAAAAATGGCATCTGACGCACAGTCCAATCAGATGGGGCGATAGAGAGCTGCCTTTTCGGTTTAATTACCCAAGTTTCATGTTGTTCTCACGATGATTTTATTCTTAATGCTATTTGTGTCTTTTGCCCGATTACAGTTCATCAGAAAGAAACTGCCCAAGTGAAAAGATCGAGTTTCAGAGTTGCACGAATAAATTCCCCTCTCAACAAAGTTCAATTGAAACTTTTTTAGAATGTCTAATAGTTTTTGAATTTTGGTGTCAAAAACATAAGCTCGTTCTGTTTCTCAAAGTTGAATTGACGAATGTAGATAAATCAATCGAGAACTTAAAAAAAAAAACACGTGAACATACTCATATTTTGGGAGTGGGACAAATGCGACCTTTTTTTTTGCGCACCTGGACGTTGGCGCACCTTTTTTTCCGCACTTCGCCCATTAGCGCACCTTTTTTCGCGTTTTAAAAAGCTCTAAAAAGCTAATATTAACCAATTTCTATTCCAAAAGTTGTTTTTCTAGGTAATTTTAGGGCGTAGAATCGAAATTTTGGCATATCAGAGCTTGTGGAAGCGAACGGACGGAGTTATACAAAGAGAAAAATCAACAATTTTCCGTCATTTGACCTAGCCGTTTTGTCTTTCAAATTGGTTCCACACGCCCTGTTATGTCAAAACTTCGATTCTACGCCCTAAAATTACCTAGAAAAACAACATTTGGAATAGAAATTGGTTAATATTAGCTTTTAGAGCTTTTTTAAAACGCGAAAAAAGGTGCGCTAATGGGCGAAGTGCGGAAAAAAAGGTGCGCAAATGTCCGGGTGCGCAAAAAAAGGTAGCATTTGTCCCACTCCCCATATTTTCCATTCTAAATTGAGCAATTGGATTTCCTTTTATAATGTAAATATTCATTCAGTTGACTGAATACTTATTACAGTGATGTTTCCATATTTAGTCAACTACTCACAGCAGGTTTATTTCTTACAATTTATCACTCATACCTCGCTTGCTTTAAACTGCCAAAAGTTGCGTAAAAGTCCGCAAAATTTACAGATTGGATGTTCTTATCTAAATTGGGAAGCATTTAGAGCCGATTTACGCCTCTAGTGCTTCAATATTCCAGTCCACTCTTGTCTAGTATTGTTTTTCGTTGTTTTTTGTAATACTAATTAATTTTTTTTGTTTTTTAATTAGTTTTTTTGTAACTTCGTAATGATTTTTGTTTTTAGAAAAAAGCAAGATGAGCAGCCAATATCACAACGAGCCGATCACGACAGGAAAGGTGAGTTTTTTGCTTGCCTTTTGTAAACTTTATAGTGGATATGTCATTTTTTGGAACGTTTTAAAGCATTTAAACCTCGAAAAGACTTTCACAAAGCTCTATGAAAGCATAGTATGACTTAAATGCAGATATCGATGTTCTTAAATGGAGTTATCTTTAGGTCAAAATATTATATTACTTAAGCAATCAATATACTTTTGATAAGTATTCAATCCTTTTATTTTAGGTTGTTCTACAAACTTCCGCCGGCGAGATCGAAATCGAATTGTGGTGTAAAGAAACTCCGTTGGCGTGTCGAAACTTCATTCAACTTTGTATGGAGGGTGAGTTTTCCTAAAAATTTGTTTCTAAAATTTTTGTTAGCTAAAGCTGTATAAAAATTTGTGCCAAACTTTAAAAATTTTATTTTAAATGTTAGAGTCTTCCAATGAAGTTTGGGGCTGTTAGTTTTGGCTCAAATTTATAATTAATGCGCAGTTTCACATAACAACGGCATATTTTTGACGGTTGCACATTTTTGATTATAATGTGTTAATGATTAGATTGGCAACTCGAAAGTTGGTACACTTATTCATTGCGCTTTTTAGAAATAACCAGTGCACCAATTAATCTACAGTTTTTACCAATAAAAATGCCCATTTATTCTTTAAAACAAGCTTTTGACAGCTTTAGAAAAGCTTCGGTTTTGTAGGTTTCTAGGGAGAAAGAAGTTGAGGAATCAAAAATGATAAACACTCGATGAAGCGATTTGAGCACTTTCTTTGACATAAACCTATTTTAGTGTCAATAAAAGAAGAGAGAGCATAACAAGTTAGATAAATTGCCTAATTTTCAGTCAGATATAATTAATAGTTTTTTTTATAGTATTCGTTCCTAGATATAAACGGATGTGGACTAGAATTTGGGTTAAGTTAAAGAGAGTGGATCCCTTTTGATATCCCGCCATCTCTAACACCCCGACAACCCAACTCAACTCCTCCAACGTATTAGAGGGGAGTCCCTGTGAAATGACCGACCTGTACTGCAGTTGCATAGACCCGGAAGATATGTATCTTTATTTACAGTAGTACAATACGACGAATAGATTACAAATGAGTGTAAGGGGAAGGGGGGGGGCTCCAAATGAGAGTTTCACTTGTCCTCCCAGGCAATCCCAAGGACCGCCCCTTCTCGGCAATAAAAGGGATAAGCACAGGGGAGAAGACACTTGCATAAGAATAGACAAATCGTTCAATAATAACAATAGTAACTAAAATATCAGTTTGGCTCGGAGCTGACAATAGTTCCATTTGAAGAATTTCCAGAAAAACTTGAATTTCTGCTCAAATTTGTTTCAAAAGTTACCCAAATTTGCTTAAGCATGTCTTAAATTAGATAATATAAAACTTTTATTTAGAGAAATCTAATTCAACTGGCGTATTAAATATGTTTTATGGAAAATACGAAAAAGTGTACCAACTTTCAAGTTGTCAATCTAATGCATTATTTTAGGTTACTACAATGGAGCCCCATTTCATCGACTCGTCAAGGATTTCATCATTCAAGTACGCTATTTTTAAAACGCTATAATAAGCTAGATAATAATTTCTTAAAAGCAATTACCGTAATTATTCTAATAAAAGAAGCGTCTTTTATTTTTTCGATTGAGTTCTAGATGCGTCTTTTATTATTTCATTAACTCATGCTTAGGTAAGTAAATAAGTAATACCGGTTTGTGGTAAATGCCCGCAAGGCAAGGTTTAGGCAGAGTACCCATTCTTTTATGATACCTAAATTTTAAAAATTACTAGATTTAATTAATATTGGATTGGAAAATTGGAAATAAAAAGACTAAGGCAAAAGTTACAAGAAGTAAAACTAGGTTAAATGAAATATGAAAAACAAGCCAAGGATTACGGTAGTTACAGCACAGAGTAGAATGGGGAATCCTCTAATAAAAGACTCGTCTTATATTAGAGGGCATCTTTTATTTTTTCGATCAAGCCTTGGAGGCGTCTTTTAATAATAGGTTGTCCCATAAAAAATTGCCGTTTTTTTCATTTGATTCGTATTCAGCGACAAATTAACACTTTTTCTTTCTCTTTTTTTTATTATACTAATTTAAAATTCTAGTTTTATGTGCTAAATTTTCTTTTTTAGGAATCAAAGGCAAAAAAAGAAATCCATCAATAATCCATCAACGATATTTGAAGAGGATTTCCGCGGCCAAAGCAGCGAGAGAAATCAATTCTTTTATGAGCCAACAATCGTCAAGAAAAGGACTACACGATGGTGGTTTAAGAAGTTCCGAAAAGGTGACACCCGGCTCACACGAAAGCGAGGAAGTGGTCATCCCGGAAACGTGAATCGACAGACGTTGAGGCGCCGACTTCGGCAAAATCTCCAAGGATCGACTCGGATTTTGGCACAAGACTATTGCGGAAGAATGACAGTATGGCGTTGGCTCAAAAAAGCCGGAAGAAAGTGGTTGAAACAGCGGCAAATTCCCTATCATTTGAAAAATTCGATTAAGGGCCAAAGAGCGCGGTCATGCCGTCAACTACTGAACGAATATCGACGCGTTCGGTTTCCTCTTTTCAATATTGTGACTCATGATCAATCGTGGATATTCTATGATGGTCGAGCGTTGAAATGACAATGGTTGAAGAAAGGTCGATTGGGAAAAGTGGTGGAAAAACGAAATACTCATGGGAATAAGCGATTTCTGTGTGTCGATTGGTGTTCCTCTGGCATACTTTTTTGGGAGCTGCTCCAGAAGGGTCAAACTTTTCACAGTGATGTTTATAGACGTCATATGCAACAAGTTGAGCAGAAAATTCTCCGATTGGTCTATCAGAATGAATGGGATGGTTCCGTTTTTGTGCTTGAAGACAACGCCCATCCCCACAAATCGAGGAAATCGAAGGATTTTATGGAAAACAATTTGCACTGGAATGTACTTTCATATGCCGCTTATAGCCCGGATATTGCTTCATCTGATTACTATTTATTTTTGTCGCTAAAGGATTTCTTTCGAGGCAAGCAATTCAACAACCAAGGTGACCTCGAAAACGAATTGGAGGGTTACTTTCTTTTACGCCGACCCGATTTTTACAAGTGTGGACTTGCAAAGTTACCAAAACGTTGGTTAAATGTCTATGATAATCATGGAAAATATATTGTTTGATCTACGTTGTTACTTTTTGTTTTGTGTTGAAAATAAAAATTTTTGAAAAACGGCAATTTTTTATGGGACAACCTAATAGAATAAATACGTTTAAATGTAGATTAATTTTAGGGAGGAGATCCGACGGGAACTGGCCAAGGAGGCGAAAGTATTTACGAAAAGCCGTTCAAGGTGCTGGTTTAAAACGTGAATGTCTTTAATTTTGTCCTAGTTAGCTTTTTGGTCTGAATTTTTCAAATTTAGGATGAGTTTCACCAACGGCTGACGTTCAATCGGAGAGGCTTACTCGGCATGGCAAATTCGGGTTTGTTTTTAAGTTAATTTTATCAAATTATTTTCCTGTTTTAGGAAAAGACGATAACGGATCGCAGTTCTTCATCACGTTGGGCACCGATCCACAACAGGTGCGCGAGCTCACCCGGAAACACACATTATTTGGAAAAGTGAGTTTCACTTATAGTCATAGTAAAATTTTAAAACTTAGCTTGTTTGATCTTTTTCAGCAACAAGTTCTTTTTTAGATTGTTGGTCCGACGATGTTCAACATGTTGAAGATGACTGAGGTGGATGTGGATTCAAATGAGCGCCCAAAGACACTCTACAAGATCACCGGAGCCGACGTCTTAACCAATCCATTCAAGGACATTCGACCAAGGTTTATTTGTTGTACATATGATTTGGTTAAATATCATGTTTTTAGGGAAAAAGAACGACGAAAAAAGAAGAAAGAAACGAAAGTGACCGAGACGAAGAAATTGAATCTACTATCATTTGGCGACGAGGCGGAAGAAGATGAAGATGAACTGACTCAAATCAATAAGGTAAATAAAGCTTATTAAGAAAAGTAATGTTACTGTCTTTGGGAAAAGTTGTGCTAACCATGTTTTGTTTTTAGAAGCTCTCCAACAAGGGCAAAAGTGCTCACGATGCGCTCGATGATGAACAACTCAGCAAGCAAGTCGCCGTAACACGAGATGAAATGGCCGATTATGACCCGGTATGTCAAAAAGGTTAGCAGCCTTTTTAGTAAAGAAGCTTTTTAACATCTAGTGCACCTTTTAAGACCCTCGCCAAAGCATTCAGTAGAGCTTTTACTTAAGAACTCTTTTTAGCATCATTGATTTAAAGTATAAAGATTTAGGATGAAGATGCACAAGATCTGACGTCGATGAGTCGAATTCGGCAAAAGCTGGCCGAAAAACGGAAACATGGTGATGACAAAAAGGTTTAATGATAACATCTAGCTAGCAAGAGTTTTTATCAATACTATTTTTAGCCTGAAGAAGATGAGGATTTGGACTCGATTATCGAACAGGAAAGAAAGCAGAAAGAGCGAGAACGACTGTAGGCTTTTATTGTATATTTTATCATCTTTAAAAATGAATTGACAAGGTATGATATTCTTTTTTAGGGATGAAATGGCCGGCGAATTGAAGACACTTCAAAAGGAGTACAAGAAAGCACTACGCGGCCCAAAGGAACGAAAAATTGAAGAAGAAGGTAAGGGCTAAAAGTTGAACTGTAACCGAAATTAATAATAATAATGAATTCGTAAAAAAATGCCAGAGTCATGTTATTCTGATTTTAGAAGAGCCCGTTACTGAGGTGATAGCAGAGTACAAGGAAATGCGCATCAAGTTCAAATCAAAGACAAAGAAGTTGAAAAGCAAACGTGACGAGGGACGAGAAAATCAGGTACAATAAATTTGGTACTATACGGTTATACCCCCGATCCCAACAAATTATCCCCATTAATACGGTTATACCCCAAAAATTTATATTTTAAAAAGTTTGCATTAACACTCAGTCACGATGGACAACAAAATACATGATCAAAGGGTAATCATTGAAGTATAAGTGGAAGCAATGGAGGATCCACTCGAAGTGATCATTTTGTCCAACTTCTAAACGAATCACAAACTTCGTTAGGAAGCTTTTCAAATGATGTCGAACAGTTCTGCGGTGCTTTTTATTTCTCCATTTTGCTGCTCCCCACGGGCGTTCAATTGATTGTGTGTGAATGTTTGGGATCGTCTGGCGAGACATAGTTGTACCTATGGTTGACAGTTTTATGTGTGAAGCCGGCTTTCTGGTATTGATGCGCTTGGGGGTGGGGGTACAATCGTATTGAGTCACTTGGCTTTTCCGTCTATGGGAGTATAACCTTATAGTACCATAAATTTTATCTTTTCAAAAATTCAAAATTTCTTAGTTTAAAAAGACGTAACTATCATGCAATGAGCCTTTTCTTTTAGACGATGCAACTTCTTGAGCGTTTCCGGGCAAAGTTGGATCAAGCCGAACAGGCAGACATTCTCTTCGACAAAACGGTTTGCCATTATTGTGCTCCAGGATAATGGTTCTGGATTTTCGATTTCTACAAACCTACCAGAACGAATTGATCTCTCTGGAGAGAAAGAAGAGGAAGAAAGAAAACGACGAGAAGCTCTCAAACAAAATGATGCCGATGGACAAGATGAAAATAACAAAGATGCGGCGAAAGCGTTTGGCTATGATTTGGATGCGGAAGACATTGTTGGCACTGATTGGTGAATTTGTGATATATTTTACTTAATTGCTTTTGAATGATTTTGTTAATCTAAATTCGATTAGTAAATAATTTACTCTAAAATGGTGTGATAAGTACCAGTTTTAAATTTATCAATGATGTTATCTTTTTCAGGATGCGACACACTTTTGTTGCTCAGGACGAGATCGATCCAAATGTTACGCGCGCTAAGGTTGGCTCATTATTTTTTATTCTGGTCATGCAAATGCATGATGTATAGTTGATACAAAGCGTTGAGTTATTTTCAGTTTATTCATTGACATCTTTAAATTAGTTTACTTTTCAATTTGTTCTTTAAATTTAAATTGTTTTCCTTTAGGATGCCAATCTCCGTGACGAGGCGAAGAGTGACTGGTATGATCTATCGGATCCTCGACATCCAATCAACAAGAGAAAACGCGGCGAAATTTGATGAAAACGCAGTAAAACGTAAACCATTTTTCTCCATTGTAAAGTGTTGATTTTGACTTTTATGAGTATTGCTAACTTTAACGATATGTTGTTAAGCTTTTTGTAGGAACAGTTTATTGAGAAAAACATGCGGATAGATTGGACTCTTGATTATTTTAGGAGCGAATAAATTTTATTATTTCTATGCCTTCTCACTCGAAACGGTGGATCGATCTGAAATTTGTGGTTTTTGATAATTTTTGAAGTATCAACTCGACTGTTGGTACCAGATCCGTGTCTTTTTATTTCTGTTAGAAGCGGGTAATGGAGTCAAGAAAATCTGGTACACGATATTATTGTTCGTGCTGCTTTTTATAAATGAACTCACTGGTTGTCCGTTTGTATATTTGGGCTGGGCGAAACCAATATGATTCTGACCGAAATCGACTACCGGGCACTTAAGTATTCAAGGCATTAGTCTCACAATTGGATGATTTTCAGTGCAAACTGTAAATGTATTGTTTACCTTTCAATAAAAGTGTCGTCGATGAGCCAGACGTCCTTCATTTCGGACGTAGGGAGACCCCAGAAAACCGATAAACAGTCATTTTGCATTTAAAGTTTGAAAATAATGAAATCTTTGAAAAGATTGGAAGTTTCATATTTAATCTTTTCTTTCGAATAGTAAAAGATGAGTTGCACATTTTAAAATACCAATTTTGCGATGAAAAAAACTTGGTCTTCTATCAAACAAGAACAGATCTTCCATCGGATCAGAACTTTCTTTTTAATGTGTAGAATCTTTCACCAATTTGAAAGCTGACCTCAGGAATAAAGTCTACTTTGGCGCAACGGAGTACTAAAATTGTTTTCACTAAATTTCACTAAATTCTTAATCATTTTCCCACAAATCCTCAGCTTTGGTTGATCTTATTAGTGAAAACTCGGGAAACGACGAGAATTAGGTAACAATGGTTTTGCAAAAATTGTTTGCTATGATCGTTTGGCAAAAAAGCAATAGGCACGCGCAAACGCTGAATTCGGGGTAGGCTAATTTCCGCAATTTTTTTTGCGCTACTGGGTCATTTGCGCTACTTGCCATAACTTTGTTTCTAAGTCGGCCAATCTTTATGATTTTGGTTTCATTTTGTAGATCTCAATAAGTGCAACAAAATGGCACAAAGAGCAGAAAGATTGGTCCACTTAGAAGAAAGTTATGACTCATCTAGTTCATGACCATCTTCCTTCCGACTCTTTTGATCAATAACTTTCTTCTCAGTGAGCCAATCTTTATGCTCTTTGTGCCATTTTGTAGATCTCAATAAGTGCAACAAAATGAAACCAAAATCATAAAGATTGACCGGTACTTTGGTGGTTGAGAGGGGTCACTTTTGGCTTGCTTAGTCGAATCTAGTGTTTTGAGCAGGGTGCTATAGTAGTTGGCGGTGGCAGTGTACATTCATCGCTATTGAGCCAGAGCGCATTAATTTTTGCACACAGGCAGGCACGCAGGCAAGCCAAAGTAGTCACCAAAGCACCAATTGGCCAACTTAGAAAAAAGTTATGGCGAGTTGCGCAACAAAAAATTAGCTGAAATTAGTTTACCCCCTGAATTCTCTAACTTTTTGTGTCACTCATTTGGTTTTTTTGTTTGCATTTTCTCTGATTAAGCGCACTCAATAATTTATTGATTCAAATACAAAATTGGATACATTTAAATTACAAATGTTAGATTAGCAAAAAAAAAGAAATTTCTTTGGCTTTTCATTAAAACTCATCGCTCTCGTCCGAGTCATCAACAAAGCGGCGCAAAGCCGGGCGAACGGGTGGGTAGACCTAGATTTCAGAAAGATGAATTACATACAAATAGATTGAATACTACAGTCATGGACAAAAGTCTTGGCGGCTCCTGGGTGGCAACTTTCAAACGCAAATTTAGAAACCTTTCCGAGAGGCTATAAAAAAGTTTTCACAAGTATTTTTGAGCATTTTTACTCTACTTTTAGCTATGACCAAGCATTGAACTCGAAAGTTTAATTTAAACAACAAAAATAAGCGTAAACGACAAAAAGTTCATAAAAACAATGGACAAAAGTCTTGGCGGCACAGACACGGTGTTCAATAGCATCCAATAGCCCCGGAGGCTCCAAGCGGCCATTGCAGCTAAAGGCGAACCTACAGAATATTGAATTTTTCGCCTCTATTTCTGTGCCGCCAAGCCAAGAGAAATAGAGGCGAAAAATTCAATATTCTGTAGGTTCGCCTTTAGCTGCAATGGCCGCTTGGAGCCTCCGGGGCTATTGGATGCTATTGAACACCGTGTCTGTGCCGCCAAGACTTTTGTCCATTGTTTTTATGAACTTTTTGTCGTTTACGCTTATTTTTGTTGTTTAAATTAAACTTTCGAGTTCAATGCTTGGTCATAGCTAAAAGTAGAGTAAAAATGCTCAAAAATACTTGTGACAACTTTTTTATAGCCTCTCGGAAAGGTTCCTAAATTTGCGTTTGAAAGTTCCCACCCAGGAGCCGCCATGACTGTATTTCTTGCATTGATTATGATTTTATTGTGATTTTTTTTTGTTTATTCTCATGCTTACCGCCTTTCCGTTGGGTTGTTTAGCTTGAGCGAAGCCGACACGATCCTGTCCAAAGTCGAAAACAGAATAGTATCTGAAAATGAAAATAGAATGAAATGAAAATAGAATTTTTGATAATCGTATATTCGTTTTTGATTCGTTTTTGATTCAATTTTGATTCAATTCCTCATTAAACTTGTTTCCTTTGACTGATTATTGAATTTGATTGAATTTGGGCTGAGTTTGAGTCAAATTTGTAGCAAAAATCAGATTGAGAAGTCGCGTTGAATTGTTGTCTTTGTTATCTTTGAGATGATCAATTTTACTTGTCTAGTTTACTTGTTTAGTTTACTTGTTTAGTTTACTTGTTTAGTTTACTTGTCTAGCTTACTTGTCTAGTTTACTTGTTTAGTTTACTTGTCTAGTTTACTTGTCTAGTTTACTTGTTTAGTTTACTTGTTTAGTTTACTTGTTTAGTTTACTTGTCTAGTTTACTTGTCTAGTTTACTTGTCTAGTTTACTTGTTTAGTTTACTTGTTTAGTTTACTTGTTTAGTTTACTTGTTTAGTTTACTTGTCTAGTTTACTTGTCTAGTTTACTTTGTTTTCATTTCATTTCAAAGTCTAATCCATATAAAGAACTAATCAATTTCGATGCTAGAGTATGTTCCTCACGAGTAATGCGTTTTTTAAAACGCACTGAACAGTCAAGCGTCTTCTTAAAAATCTTTTTCTAGTAAAACTTTCAATCAAAAGTTTCAATCGAAACTTTACAAGGGTATCCGATTGTTCTGACAAAGGAACTATCTACCGTAAATACTGTAATAGTACCCCACCTCCATAATGACGGTGCGGAGTGTTGCGTAGCTCTAGCTTTGAACGAGTTTTTCTCGACACTGGTTTATGCTACAATGCGCGCTTAGGTATCAAAAAATAGCCCTGAATTTCAGCTATTTTTTGATACCAAAGACGCATTTTTTGAAAGTACGGGTGCTTTGAAAACAAATGAAATACTAAAAAACTTTTGCGACTACGCGACTGTACGAGGTGGGTGGGGTACTATTACAATATTTAAGGTATGGTTGTTTCCGACTTCTTGTCGTACCATAAACTCCGCCAAATAGCTTGAAAGGAAGTGTCTGGCAGTGTTAGATGAGGCAAATTTGAACCTACATTGGTTTCTCTTTGTGGTGCCACTTTTAAATAAAGAAACAATGTAAAAGCATTAACTATTACAGTATTTACGGTAGGAAAAATTGCCGTACTTTTAGCGCAAAAATTATTGCAAAGAATTGGCGCAAAATTGGCGCAAAAAATCACGAGCGCCCATTTATATACGACTCTCTTTAAACATATTCAGCCGTTTAACTGATTTGGTGGCACAAATTCCCGTCACATGTAACGATATTCAATTTACGCGACGTGTAAAGAGGATCACTCGTAGTTAGGGGTCTATCCCAAAACAGCGCCGCCAAAACAGCGCCACCCAAAACAGCGCCACCCAAAACAGCGCCACCCAAAACAGCGCCGCCAAAACAGCGCCACCCAAAACAGCGCCGCCAAAACAGCGCCACCCAAAACAGCGCCAATGCAAAAACGCCCAAAACAGCGACGAGCAAAAAAAATTATTTTATAGATTTTTGCTTTTGCTTTTTCTTTGCTGTTTTTAACTTTTTCTGTCCACTTTTTGTGTTTTTAGGGTAAAAAAAAGGCGGAGAATCCGATTTTTTTAAAGCTTTACGCATAGAAACCTGCGATAGCGTTTATAAAATTGATTTTAACCAAAAATAACAATTTTTTTCCTTTTACGGCCTGTTTTTTTAGCATTTTCACTAACTTTTTATTTCTACTACGGATCACTTGAAAGCTCTAGCCGTTTATGTTCATCATCGCTAGTGTTATGATGTTTCAGAGTCTCTTGGACTATTAATTTCATGCTAATAGGTTGATGCATAAGTCTTTTCGTTTTTTTCGTACTTCTGTTAAAAAGTAACAAATTCACGAATTAATCTATAGTTTGCTCTATAAAAAAAGTGTTTTTTTGTTGAATTAGCATCTTTTTAAATGAATTTCGGTTCACTTTCAAGCAAATTCGAGAGTGAAAAACGCCTTTTTCGTAAAAATCTATAAAAAACTCTACGGAAAAATTGGCTGAATGAATTTCTCTGAAATTTTGGCGAAATATCAAACGTTTTTTTTCTCTATCTTTTATCTATTGACACGAAGATAGGTTTTCTTTAGCTAAGGTGTCTAAACCGCATCATCGAGTTAGCCCTTTTTGACTACCCGACTTCATACTCTCAAGAAAATCCAGGCATTAAATATTTTTAAACCCGTTTTAATGTTATTTTGCAGAAAAATAATTGCTTTTTCTAATGAAATCAACCGTAGTTTAATTCGTGCATTTGTTGGCTTGAAACGGCAGACGAAAAGGAACAAAAGCACTTATGCATCAACCTAATAATTTGATTTTATTTATTTACAAGTATAGGGACAATGAGAAGTACTGTAAAGTACTTTAGAGCATTGTAAAGTACTGTAAAGTACTTTAGAGTACTGTAAAGTACTATAGAGTACTGTAAAGTACTGTAAAGTACTCTAGAGTACCGTAAAGTACTGTAAACTTCGATTGGTCTTTACTAGGGAAAAGTACTTGGTCACCGTGGGATTTCGACCCAGCTTATTCGATAGAAAATCGAACGGGGAATTTTAGAATTTTAGAAACAAGACCAGGGCAATCTAAAAGTATGAAAATGTTGAAATCATGAATGCTTCTGGTTCTGAAAAGGTTTGGCTTGAAAATAGCCATTAATTTAGCCATTAAACCAGCTATCTCTGTCTTTTCTGACTCTAGACCTGACTCTGGAGATCCTGGAGATCTCTGAAACTTAATGTTATTTTGCAGAAAAATAATTGCTTTTTCTAATGAAATCAACCGTAGTTTAATTCGTGCATTTGTTGGCTTGAAACGGCAGACGAAAAGGAACAAAAACACTTATGCATCAACCTAATATTTTAATGTTTTTTATGCATCGTTTAATTGTTATCGTTTATTGTTGTTGGTCATGTTATTTTTAAATAAATTATCAAAATTAAAAGCTGCTAATAAAAAAAATGAGTGTACATTGTAAAAGAAAAAAAAACTTTGTTTTGCATCGGCGCTGTTTTGGGCGTTTTTCATTGGCGCTGTTTTGGGTACGGCGCTATTTTGGGTGGCGCTGTTTTGGTCGGCGCTGTTTTGATCGGCGCTATTTTAGTGTCGGCGCTGTTGTGGGATAGACCCGTAGTTAGTCGACCAAAAACGAGTAAAAAACGAGTAATTCATCGAGTAAAGATTACTCATGCAAATTTGACTCGAGTAACTAACTGACTCGAGTAACTTACTCGCGAGGAACACACTCTAATCAATACCATATCCCAATTCCTTACCTTCCGATGAAAACATCGCCCAAAATCCAAAGATCACCGACTTTCGGTGGCAAATCGATACCCATAAATCCAGAGAGGCAAATCGTCTTCCCGGCGGCAGTCACCTGAAATATTATTGTCTAGAAAGCATTCAAATACTCTAGAAAATTCAAGGTAAATCTGTCTCCTTACATTGAGCACATAGTCGTATCCCTTGAGTGTGTAGACTTGGCCGCCGATTTGGAAGCTCACGTCGGGAAGGGTTGCCACCTTGTCGCAAGGGATCATGTACTAAAATCGCAAGGGATCATGTTCCTAGATTAAATCAGATTTTGAGCCCGATAATCGATTTAATCTAAGAATTTGAGCACAATCATTTGCTTTTAGCCATCGCCAGCCACAGTAAAAGCGTCTCTAAATTTGACTCACTTCTCCCTTCATCAATGGCTCGGCTCCGATGTAATTCTGGATGGCTTCAACCTGGAATTTGACTGGGTTTTGTATGCAAAGCTTGAGCTAATTCCGAGCTAATACACAGTAGTATTACGTACTAAATTACCGCAAAAGCTCCAATAGAAGCCCTTTAGGAGCGAGCGTCGTATCGTCTAAGTTTACGTCCAAAGCACCGCTCATATCTCGGCGCCTAGACATTTGTTTTGGCGCGCTTAGGTATCAAATTAAAGTAGAAAGATAGACGGATTTTTTGAGATATAACACATATTTTTAGCTTTAACCAGCGCTTAGAAAAAAAATTATTGAAAATGAGTGAAAAAAGCCGATTTTTTTGCCAATTTTCAGTCATCTTTTTCTAAGCGTTGGTTAAAGCTAAAAATACATCCAATAGCTCAAAAAACCCCCCTATATCTCTATTTTAATTTGACACCTAAGCGCGCCAAAACAAATGTCTGGGTGTCGAGATATAAGCGGTTCTTTGAGTGTAAACTTTGACGACACGACGCTCGCTCCTATAGGGCTTCTATTAAAAGCTTTTACAGTAGTTGAGTGTCTTGACTTTGATTAGAACTTGATTAGAATTAGATTGATTAAAACTTTGCGACTTTTTCAAACTTGCCTGTGCTTTCGGTCCAGCGATGAGCGAGGTTCCAGTGTCGGCGATGGCTTGGCATCCATTGGCACAAGCAATGGTGTCACGGCCGAGCACCTGAACAATGATTCAAATATGATACTCGATTTGCTATTAGTCTCAGCTCTAGCTCAGTCTCAGCTCTAGCTCAGTCTCAGCTCTAGCTCAGTCACAAACTCTACCTTGTCCATCTTGAATTGCCAATATCCTTTCCGGGTCACCGGCACATAGTTGATTGGCTCAACGTAGTGAGCTGGATCCAAGCCACCCAAAGTGATCTCACCACCGTCTTCAGCCTGGGGATCTCTGAAATATTTAATTTTAGATAAAAAACAAGGTAAACAAGGTAAATCCAAGAAAACAAAAGCTACCTGTTCAACCAGAAAGCAAAGACAGGTTGCGCGACTTTCTTCTGATCGATCAAGGTGTTGAAAACGGGAGAGACTCCTGGAAGAGAAAGAGTTTTAACAAGAAAACTGATACATGCCAAGAACAGCGATTTCTGGGTATCCCATTCCCAAAATTCCGTCGAATTTCGCGGCCACAAAGGTGATTCCCGGCTCCGAGGTTGCTTCGGCGAATGGCTGCTCGGTGGCACAAAGCTCTGACACCTGAAAAGAAGAATTTCAAATTAAAAGTCTTCTTACAAGGGAAGATCAACTGACTGAGACGGCCAAATACTATTTAACCTATACCATTCAACGCAGAATTTTATGCTGATTCCGAATATGTTTTCTGTTTTTGCTAAATGACAATCTGACAGGAGTTATAAGCGTCTAAAGTTTTGTTAGGACTTGTTATGAAGTTTGTTAGGAAAATATGCTCATTTGGGTCTTAGCGACTCACAACGGAACCTCTTAAACTTACACTCGAGTCCAACAATGATTTAGGTACTATTCAATTGGAAAAAAATGAGCTATCCCAATCTGGTGTCCAAATTTGCTTTTGGGGTTTTAGAATGGAACCTAAGGGGAATCTACTAATTGAACGACCTTCTACTTACCGAGCAGATTTACTTCTACTTACTACTTCTACTTCTACTTCTACTTCTGCTTCTACTTCTACTTCTACTTCTACTTCTACTTCTACTTCTACTTCTACTTCTACTTCTACTTCTACTTCTACTTCTACTTCTACTTCTACTTCTACTTCTACTTCTACTTCTACTTCTACTTCTACTTCTACTTCTACTTCTACTTATTCTACCACTGAGGTATTGGCACCCTCTTTCCCCATGAAGAAATAGAAAAGACAAGGAAGAAAGAAAGAAAGAAAGAAAGAAAGGTTACAGTCGTCAGCCAAAACAAAACAAAAGCAGTAAACGAAAACTCACGCAAACGGTGTCCAAGCTGATGAATCCTTTCATGCTTCCCGTTCCATATTGAAGCTCCATCTTTCTGCCGTCCTCCTTATAGGAGGATGAGGCGCCCGAGTCATAGCGATGGTGCAACCCTGAATGTAATGATGGTTATGGATTTTCTTTATGTTGGAAGCTACAATATGCGTTATTGACTCAAATGAGGTCAGCTCAAATGAGGTCAGCTCAAATGAGATCAGCTCAAGTGAGATCAGCTCAAATGAGATCAGCTCAAATGAGATCAGTATGCTAGATTCAGTTGTCAGTTTATACAGGTTTAGTTGTCTGCCTAGTTATCCAGCACCAGTCTTTGCCTAGCAATCTGTAAGTTTACTAGTTTCTGCGTTTTGTATTTTGATTTGTCTTGTTTGATCTTGTAAACTCACAGCAAGCGATATCAGTCCACGAGCATTTCTTCGATGGCACCCACAAGTTCGACGATCCAGTGTCGAAGATCACCGAGAAGTTCTGAGCGGGAGTGCCGATCGAGATCTCTCCATAGTATTGAGCCTGAAAGCTTCTTTCTTGAGTCTCACACGTCTTTTCTCACATCCATATAGTTTCTCAAGTGCTCATCAGGGCTGAAAACGTTGCTCTTTGCTTGACGATTGAGGTACGCCTTCAGCTTTTGCTTCATCGCCTTCTCACGGAGTCTCGCATAGTCGGAATAGGATCCGGCTTCGAAAAGAGTGTCACGAATGGTGGTCAAACGTCTCAAGGGGATTCTGGAAAGGAATGGTTTAAAACATTGTTTTAACCATTGTTTTAACCATTGTTTTAAACCATTATTTTAAACCATCGTTTTTAACCATGCTGGATAAGCTGTGATAAGTAAAAGTCTTTGATGTCTAAAGTTTTTTACATTTAATGAGAGTCTAGCATTCAAATCTTTCCCCAAAGCAGCTAAAGTATTAAATCTTACAAGTGTGAACTTATAGAGGTTTAATGGCAAAAATTTTGAAGCAAAAAGCAAAAGAATTGGCGGTAAGAGGAGTCGAATCCGCGACCTCTCTTCCGTTCGCTTGAGAGACGCTTGCGTCAACCACTTGGCCATGCTCTTTGGATGGCATAGGATCTATGGCGCGGGATGAATGGCGCAGGATGGATGGCGCAGGATGAATGGCGCAGGGTGGATCGCGCAGTGCGAGCGCACTTGTCTCTAGCGCACTTGTCTCTAGCGCACTTGTCTCTAGCGCACTTGTCTCTAGCGCACTTGTCTCTAGCGCACTTGTCTCTAGCGCACTTGTCTCTAGCGCACTTGTCTCTAGCGCACTTGTCTCTAGCGCACTTGTCTCTAGCGCACTTGTCTCTAGCGCACTTGTCTCTAGCGCACTTGTCTCTAGCGCACTTGTCTCTAGCGCACTTGTCTCTAGCGCACTTGTCTCTAGCGCACTTGTCTCTAGCGCACTTGTCTCTAGCGCACTTGTCTCTAGCGCACTTGTCTCTAGCGCACTTGTCTCTAGCGCACTTGTCTCTAGCGCACATGACCCGGGTTCGACTCCCGCCCGCGTCGGCTCAGTTTTGGTTTTTAAAAAATTTAAAAACATGTTGCACAACTGCATGGAATTCTAAGCTAAACTAACCATAAGTCATTTGAAACGGCCCACTGGGTGTGGAGGAGTAGTGTGCACAGACAGACAGGCAGACAGACAGACAGACAGGCAGACAGACAGACAGACAGACAGGCAGACAGACAGACAGACAGACACAGCTCTTTTATATCTACGGTCGAACCTCATTAGTGACCTATGGAAGGGATCCTAAAAAACCGTTCACTATCGAGGTTTGATTAGTACTAAATCAACTCAAAGGGATTCTAAAAAGCCCGGTTACTATCGAGGTGTTCACTAATGAAGTGTTCACTATCGAGGTGTTCACTAACGAGGCTCAACTGTAGTAGATAGTTAACCTTGTCGGCCCAACAGCTGTACGATGTAAATGATGTCGTTGATGATGACGATCACTCGAATAGGCTGTTACCAACGCCACCAGCGCCAACAAAGCCCAAAGTGAACGCATTTTCTGTAAGTGAAAGTTTTTTCTGTAAGTGAAAGTTTAAAAACTGAAAAATGAACTGTTTTTTGAAAGGAAAATTGTCATGAAAAGGCGGTATTATATTATTTTCTTTGAAATGGATCCTAAAGAATCCGAATCACCAAAATATTGGGGGCTGGTTCGTTTTCCCATTCCCAAAAAATGAATCACTCAAAAGGAAAAGATTTTTGGTCAAAGATGGCACCATTGAGAAAAGATTTCAAAAGAGATGTTGAAAGAAAAGAAAAGAAAAGAAAAGAAAAGAAAAGAAGAGAATAGCAAAGAAAGAGAGATTTCTTCGAAAAAGCGGGCAGAAAATAAACAACAGAGCCTTGGGGTGAGTGGAAAAGAGGCGAGTGATAGTAGATAACAGGTCAATGGATTGGGGAAAACATTGCTGAGGCTTGATTGGGTGAAAGTTTAGCGTCAACTAGGGCTTTTTCAACAACAAGCCAACTGTTCGTTCGACTCCTCGATGGATCGAGTGACCAACGAAAGTGGCGGGGGAAACAACTTGGGAAATGGAAACTGGAAACTGGAAAGACATTTGAGCATTCATCCATTATTAGATTGAAAAGTGTCATTTATTCGTTAGAGATTGGAACAATTGCCGCACTTTGTAACCTGTCTAGCAAAAAAAAAGTCACAAGGTTTGGATGAGGCGCTCGAGTCATAGCGATGGTGTAACCCTGAATGTAATGATGGTTATGGATTTTGTTTATGTTGAAAGCTGAAGAAAAGAAATGGGTAAAGTTTCTCGAACTTAAAGCGCGAAAAGCAAAAATTCAATTAAACCCTAAAATTTCGACTTACAATTGAATCAAAATGGGTTTAGGGATGTAAAAAAAGGTTTAAATGGCAATTCGAGGTTAACAATCATTGAGCAGTCAGTGCTTTCATCGAGCTTTCTTTGGGGTATCCTTTTAATGGGGTATCCTTTTAATGGGGTATCCTTTTAATGGGGTATCCTTTTAATGGGGTATCCTTTTAATGGGGTATCCTTTTAATGGGCATTCTTTTAATGGGGCAAGCTTTTAATGGGGTATCCTTTTAATGGGGCAAGCTTTTAATGGGGTATCCTTTTAATGGGCATTCTTTTAATGGGGTATCCTTTTAATGGGGTATCCTTTTAATGGGGTATCCTTTTAATGGGGCATTCTTTTAATGGGGTATCATTTTAATGGGGTATCCTTTTAATGGGGCATTCTTTTAATGGGGTATCATTTTAATGGGGTATCCTTTTAATGGGGTATCCTTTTAATGGGTATCCTTTTAATGGGGTATCTTTTTAATGGGCATTCTTTTAATGGGTATCCTTTTAATGGGGTATCCTTTTAATGGGGTATCCTTTTAATGGGGGTATCCTTTTAATGGGGTATCCTTTTAATGGGGTATCATTTTAATGGGGTATCCCATTAAGAGGATGGGGGTATCCTTCGGGCGTTTATAGAAAGGATTCTAGGACTGCCGCTCTTAAAAGCTCGATGAAAGCTTTCTTTCCCCTTTCAATCTATCTTATTGTATTATACTGATTGTATAACTGATTCAATCTATCTTATTGTATTAGGCTGACGCATATGAAATGATGTCCTGTCAATGATGTCATGCCATTTCATTCATTTCATTTCATTCATTTCATTTCATTCATCATCTCTCAACTCCCTCATTTTCAGGCCGATTTCTTTCATTTTTTGATAGTAGTTGCCAGAGAAATTTCAAATTCATATTTCTTAAAGATAAACTTTCATTTTCATTATTTCTGTTTTTCAAGTTATTAAAAATTTTTTCTAAAAGCTGAAATGGCACGTCTTTTCATCTCTGCTTTCTTTCACACTTGTTTTTCATTATTTTTCTTTTCTTCTTTCACCCGATTACGAAGCCTGATAAATAATCAAAAATTGAAAAATTGAAAAATCAAAAAATTTATCTGAAAACAAAACAAAACAAATACAAAAAATGAAAATATAGCAAGATTTTGGTTGAGATTCGAAATGTCAAAGAAAAAAGAGAGGGAAAAGACAGCCATTGGCCTTCAAAAAAGACAAAACAAAAAGAAAATGGAGGGGACTCGATTTGAAATCTTTGACCCATAAGAAAATGAAAAAAAAAGGAACACTAAAGGACGATTTACTAAAAGGGGACGATTTACTAAAAAAAAACTGACGATAAATGTGAATTTTTGTGCATATTTGAATACTTTATCATTGAAAGTCGACAAATTTAAAGGTTTAACCAAAAGGTAACCAAAAGGTAAACCAAAAGGTAACCAAAAGGTAAACCAAAAGGCAAACCAAAAGGTAAACCAAAAGGTAAACCAAAAGGTAACCAAAAGGCAAACCAAAAGGTAAACCAAAAGGTAAACCAAAAAGTTTAACCAAAAGGTAACCAAAAGGTAAACCAAAAGGTAAACCAAAAGGTTTAACCAAAAGGTTTAACCAAAAGGTAACCAAAAGGTAAACCAAAAGGTAACCAAAAGGGAAACCAAAAGGTAAACCAAAAGGTAACCAAAATTTAAAGGTTTAACGAAAGATAGTTGAATTAAAGGGTACTTGTCGGTGGTACATCCACAGAGACTCAACTCGGTTAAATAAGGAGTTGACAACTGTGATTGTCACAACTTCTGAGGGGTGATTATGTTCAGTGAAGTAGAGTGCTCGCCTGAAGTGATTAGTCGATCGATCAGTGGATCAGTTGATTGATCAGTCTGATCAGTCGATCGATCAGTCTGATCAGTCGATCGATCAGTCTGATCAGTCGATTGATCAGTCTGATCAGTCGATCGATCAGTGGATCAGTTGATCAGGCGATCGATCAGTCTGATCAGTCGATCGATCAGTGGATCAGTTGATCGATCAGTCTGATCAGTCGATCGATCAGTCTGATCAGTCGATTGATCAGTCTGATCAGTCGATCGATCAGTGGATCAGTTGATCAGGCGATCGATCAGTCTGATCAGTCGATTGATCAGTCGACCAGTCGAACGAAAATCGATAACCGAGAAGACTCGGATGGGGATGCTTAACCGAGATGAGTCTTTGTGGATGTCTAACCGACAAGTACCAACTAAAGACATAAAACAAACGCAAATTTCTCAGAAACAAATCGAAATAGAGGCTGAAAATGATAGAAATGAGATCAAAATTTTTAAATTTCCTTAATCTTAAGATTGAATAACGAAAAAGTATCGTTATTTTTGGTATAAGCCAAAGAAAAAAATGCATAACAATGTCAACCATTGCAAAAATGACCCTCAATTTGATTACTCAATGCGAGCCAAGAGATTGCTTCAAAATATTAGGTACATGCATAAGAGATGCGGATTTCAGCATTTCCATAAATTTCCAACGATAGAAACCTGATGTTATAAACTAGAATCGATGAATGTTATAAACTATTTGAAAGTTGTAAATCTCCTCTACAAAACGGCTACAAAACGGCTACAAACGGTAAATCTCCTCTACAATCTCCTCTACAATCTCCTCTACAATCTCCTCTACAATCTCCTCTACAATCTTCTCTACAATCTCCTCTACAAAATCGGGTAAAACGTGTTTGAATTGGTCGAAGCATTGAAGCAAATTTCGAGGGCGAAATGCGAGTGACCTTAGGGACAAGTTTAATCAAAACCGAACTCTTGTGAAAGTGGGGGAAAACGTTTTAGCCTATTTTGTAGAGGAGATTGTAGAGAAGATTGTAGAGGAGATTGTAGAGAAGATTGTAGAGGAGACTGTAGAGGAGATTGTAGAGGAGATTGTAGAGGAGACTGTAGAGGAGATTGTAGAGGAGATTGTAGAGGAGATTGTAGAGAAGATTGTAGAGGAGACTGTAGAGGAGACTGTAGAGGAGATTGTAGAGGAGACTGTAGAGGAGATTGTAGAGGAGATTGTAGAGGAGATTGTAGAGGAGACTGTAGAGGAGACTGTAGAGGAGATTGTAGAGGAGATTGTAGAGGAGATTGTAGAGAAGATTGTAGAGGAGACTGTAGAGGAGATTGTAGAGGAGATTGTAGAGGAGATTGTAGAGAAGATTGTAGAGGAGACTGTAGAGGAGACTGTAGAGGAGATTGTAGAGGAGACTGTAGAGGAGATTGTAGAGGAGATTTACCGTTTGTAGCCGTTTTGTAGCCGTTTTGTAGAGGAGATTTATGACTTTCAAATAGTTTATAACATTCATCGATTCTAGTTTATAACATCAGGTTTCTATCGTTGGAAATTTATGAAAACGTTGAAATCCGCATTTCTTATGCATTTACCTAATAGATCTTCAACTATTCATAGATTTTTTACTGGACCCAGATTTAGATTTAAATTTAAACTAATAGCCGATCGTGTTCGTCCAATGTCGTTCATTTCGAGAAATGAGTGAATTCTTTGCGAGCAAATCGGATCACTCTCCTGACTTCGAGCCGAATCATCGTAAAGCAAGGAACATCGCTCGGATGGGTTTACCTGGAAAATAAAATTGATTTTATTTTAGCTTTTAGTGTGAAGGGAAGGCCAATTGGATGTGCTGACCAAATCACGCGTCAGAGGCCTCGTCCTGCATCTTTACTCACTGCCACTCGGCCACCGCTGCCACTACTTGCGTCACGGAAGACAGGGTGTTGTCATGTCGCGGTTTCATTCTTCATTTTTCATTTTACATTTTTCAAACTCCTTGCAAAATTTTAAACGCGTATAACTTTTGACAGTGTGCTTCTTAGCGAAAAAGAAAAACAGCATCATGATCAGCGTGAAATTCTGCGTCGAACGATATAGGGTTAGCATCCCGTTTCCAAAACGGTCGCCCCGGAGAGGGTGCCGGGTTCGATTCCGGACCGGTTCCGAATTTTTTTGTTTTAAATGTTTTTGGGCATGAAGTTGCAAATTTGAAGAAATTGTTATTGCTGTTATTGTTTTTTTTTCTATTGTTGTTGAGTATTGTTAAACAACTTTAAACGATCGTATTTCTTTGAAATCACCTGTGAGCCGGCTGTCCCTCTCCTAATTGATGTTTGTGTGGGAAGTTGGGATCCGGTTGTGTGTGAGCCGTGGAAATTTGTAATCTAAATTCGCCATCATCCTCAACACTCAAAACAAAATTACACACACTTCAAATCAAAGAATTTGAAAAAAAAAAATCACCAAACTCTGATATAACCTGATAGTCTTTTCTACGAGTTGTCTAAAAGAAAAATGATGCTTTGAAATGGTTTTCTTTTGCTTTTCTTTTTTGCTCTTCCCCCTCACCTCCATTCTGCTCATCGATTTCGGCTCACTTGCACAGAAAAGACCACACGAAACGCGTTTGCACAAAATGCTCAGCACTCGGACGAAGCCTGCAAAAATTGTACTTATTTGTATTTACAATTCGCTTTGTAGTGTACCTTTTCTGAAATTATCTGACATCAACGCGTAGAGAATCGGATTGAGACAAGAATTCGTGTAGGCGAGGACTTGGCTGGCGATTTGAACGATCACCATCGCTTTGCCGCCTCGCAAGACGAGAGTGTCCGGGTAGGCCATGCCTAGATTGAAAGGAAACATTCAGATCACAGATTACTGCAGATTGAGACAGATTCAGAGTAAAAGAGTGAAGAAATAGCCATTTTTTTGGATTATAGAACGTATTAGACTTCGGCAAACAAAACCAAAACCAAAACAGACCAAAACCAAAACCAAAACCAAAACCAAAACACCAAAACACCAAAACCAAAACCAAAACTCAATTTGCATATAAATTAACATGTAAATTTAAAATTGTAAAATGCAAATTTAAAATTGTAAAATGCAAATTTTAATGTAAAATGCAAATTACCCTTTTCTCATTCCACAAAATCTCGCGGCCGAAAAAAGGACCAAAACACGACCTCGAAATTTCGAAACAAAAAATAGCCTATGGGATAGATTTTTGGATGCTGATTTCAAATCTGCAAACAGATTTTCGCTAGCTCCTCCCAGTCGCGAGATATTGGCGAGTTTTGGTTAGTTTTGGTTTTGGTTTTGGTTTTGTTATGGTTTTGTTTTGGTTTTGGTTTTGTTATGGTTTTGGTTTTGGTAGTTTTGGTTTTGGTTAAGTTTTGTTTTGTTTTCCGAAGTCTAGAACGTATTGCTCATTTATTTTAGGTTTACCCTATAAGGAATCGTTTTTCTTGTGCAAAAAGTGAGCTGAATAAGCTGGATCTGAAAAAAATGGAGCTGAATAATAAATCTCTTTCTCTCTCTCTCTCTAAATTCTAAGGGAAAGCCTTAGAATTGCCTTAGAATAAAGCCATTCTAAGGGAAAGCCTTAGGAGTTCTTGAAAATGCTGGAAATGGGGAAAAACGCAGAATGTGAACGGGTAAACAAGTCGGAAAAAAAGGAAGAAAGTGGCCAAAGTCGATTGCAGTCGATTTGTCAATAAGAGAATAAAGTGTTCTTGAATTGGTGGATTCGTTTTTAAGAAATTTCCAGTGCTAAAGCTGTGCAAAGATTTCCTTATCAGCCCCAATAATTATAGTCGACTCTCGATTTAACGATTCACTTGAGACGAAACATTTCGCTTTAACGATTCGAAACGATTCTAATGATTCTAACGATTCTAAAAGTGCCAGAAATTTCTTGCGTAGCTGTCTGAACGGCGAACAATTGCGTTTGGCTGAGTGTAGCTGCCCTGAACGGCGAACGACTGCGTTTGGGTGGGCGTAGCTGTCTGAACGGCCAACGACTGCGTTTGGCTGAGTGTAGCTGTCCTGAACGGCCAACGATTGCTTTGGCTGGGCGTAGCTGCCCTGAGCGGCCAACGATTGCGTTTGGCTGGGCGTAGCTGCCCTGAGCGGCCAACGATTGCTTTGGCTGGGCGTAGCTGCCCTGAGCGGCCAACGATTGCGTTTGGCTGGGCGTAGCTGCCCTGAGCGGCCAACGATTGCTTTGGCTGGGCGTAGCTGCCCTGAGCGGCCAACGATTGCGTTTGGCTGGGCGTAGCTGTCTGAACGGCGAACTATTGCGTTTGGCTGAGTGTAGCTGTCCTGAACGGCCAACGATTGCTTTGGCTGCGCGTAGCTGCCCTGAACGGCCAACGCTTGGTTTTAGCTAGGCAGCTACGCAGGAAGCAAGGACGTGTTTTAGAATTTCACAATCGTTGTATCGAGATCGAGAGTTAAAGCGAGAGTCGACGTTAAATCATATGTGTAAGTAAGCATTTCTCTTGTTTTTAGAATCGAAGCACTTTATCAAATGGTTTGTATTGAAAATGAATCAATTCGGATGTGATCTGGGTAAAAATTTGCAACAATCCTAAGCCACAGAAGCATAAAGAGCTAAGCAATGTGTGCTTGTCATCAACTCTTATCTGATTCTATATGAAAAGCTATAAACTAAGCTTATAAATCTTATAAAATAAGCTTAGAAAAACTGAGTTATTTAAAGATATCCAGAACTGATTTTTTTAGAAGATTTAGATAGAAATGCCCATCCTAGTTATCGCCTTGAGCTGCCTTTTCATTGCCTATTTAATCTATTACCTTATTTAACTTGTTTATGCATTAAAGCATTTACTAGAGCTTTATTTTATCCTGAGCTTTTATCACTTTTAAAGCCATACCTGAAAAGAAGAAGCAGACATTGAGTGGCAACCAGCAAACCGCCCAAATAATCACCACACAAAGCACCAAACGAGTCACTTTCTTTTTTGCTTTCACAGTTTCCGGTCGGCTTCTGATTGAGCTGTTCAACTAAAATATCAAAAGGCTCATGTACAAGAGGCTTCTGTACAAGAGGCTCCTGTACGAGAGGCTCCTGTAACAGAGGCTCCTGTACAAGAGGCTCCTATACAAGAGTCTCCTGTACAAGAGTCTCTGTCCAAGAGTCTCCTGTACAAGAGGCTCCTGTACAAGAGGCTCCTATACAAGAGGCTCCTGTACAAGAGGCTCCTGTACAAGAGTCTCCTGTACAAGAGTCTCCTGTACAAGAGTCTCTGTCCAAGAGTCTCCTGTACAAGAGTCTCCTGTACAAGAGGCTCCTATACAAGAGTCTCCTGTACAAGAGACTCCTGTACCAGAGGCTCCTCTACAAGAGGCAGCTCGAAAATTTCCATTTAGTAAGATTCGATAAAAATTTACGCTATTGCAAGTGCCTGGCCTTGGCGTTTGCCAGAGTCGATTGAGCATAAAATAGTACAGCACACAAGTGATTCCCAATGGTAGAACATAGCCAAAAAGATTGAATGTAAAGAAATACCCTCTTGCCTGAATTTCATGAATTTCATCTTATGATTCTGAAAGTTTACTTGTGCTATCGTAGCCGAATTGTCGGCGATGCTCACAATGGCACATGTCGAGCGATTCTCGATGATGAACTCGTAGTGGAAAATCCCGTGCATGAGGCCGATTGGAATCTTAAAGATCTTTGTGTACTTTGAATGGATTTTGGTGTACTTTGTGCAAATAGAAACACATCTCTGCTGGCGCACTTGTTCACAAAATTAAGAAACGAGTACGTCAGAAAGGGTGAGTGCACAAAGAAGCACAAAGAAAATCTCCCAAAATGACTCCGCTAATTTAGAAAGCTTTCTCTTTCTTTCTTCCTTCTTTCTTCCTTCCTTCCTTCCTTCTTTCCTTCGATCTTCTTTCCTTCTTCCTTCCTTCTTTCTTTCGATCTTCTTGCCTTCTTTCTTTCGATCTTCTTGCCTTCTTTCTTTCAATCTTCTTTCCTTCTTCCTTCCAGCTTTCTTTCCATCTTTCTTCGTTCTTTCTTCCCTCCTTCCCTCCTTCCTTCCTTCCTTCCTTCTTTCCTTCTTTCTTCCTTCCTTTCTTCTTCCCCCTTGTCTTTCCATCTTTCTCTTGGCAAGTTAAGGTACCCGATAGCTGAGTGGTTAGAGCAATGGCCTAGGAAATAATCCCCTCCAAAAATCTCGAGGGTTCAATCCCCTCTCCAAAAATCTACCGTAAATACTGTAATAGCCCCATAATGACGCCATAATGCCCAGCCCCATAATGACGGTGCGGAGTGTTGCGTAGTCTAACTTTAAACGAGTTTTTCTCAACACTGGTTTATGCTACAATGCTTGTTTAAATATCAAAAAATAGCTGAAATTCAGGGCTATTTTTTGATACCAAAGACGCATTTTTTGAAAGTACGGGTGCTTTGAAAAAAATGAAATACTAAAAAACTTTTGCGACTACGCGACTGTACGAGGGGTGTGGGGTACTATTAGAGTATTTACCGTACCCTTTCTTGCCAATTTCTTCACTTCCTTTTTACATACCTGAGAAACAAGAATGATTGCATAAACAATGGACATAATGATGACAGTGTTGGTGGTGCTTCGAAGAGTCATCGAATCAACGGGAAAACAAACGGCCAAAAATCGATCCAACGCCATCAATGTGAGCGTCCACACAGAGAAATAGGCGGAAATATGCTGAAAAAAGAATTAGTGGAATTATTGAAATTGCTGAAATTACTGAAATTACTGAAAATGATTGATTGGCTTATTTGCTGAAAGCTTTTCTCTTTAAATCTATTGATTTATCTCATTTATCTCATTTTGATCATTTTTATCTTTTTGATCCTTTTGATCATTTTGATTTACTTGAAAATAGTTGATCATCGAGCAAGTCCATTCTGGGAACACCCAAACGGGCATCGCGTAATCGATTGCCGTGAATGGGATGCATAGCAGGAGAAACATCAAATCCGAGACGGCAAGTCCTGGAAATGATTTCAATAAAATACGTTAACTTGGCACTGTTTCAACTCGAATTTCTCGAACTTGGCACTGTTTCAAATCGAATCTCAACTTGAAAACGTCTTGCGAAAAGTTGACTTTCTGTTCTTCTAAATCGCGAGTCTTTTGACTGTACTTTTTTACTTTTTACTTTCACTTTCGTCGGATTATTTCGTCGATGATTACTGTTGAAGGCGACTTAAAGCGATTTAAAGTGATTTAAGGCGACTTAAAGTGATTTAAAGCTATTTAAGGCGATTTAAGGTGATTTAAAGCGATTTAAGGCAGTTTAAGGCGATTTAAGGCGATTAAAGGCGATTAACGGCGATTTAAGGCAATTTAAGGCGATTTAAAGCGATTTAAGGCTATTTAAGGCTGTTTAAGGCGATCTAAGGGAATTTAAAGCCATTTAAGGCAATCTAAGGCAATTTAAAGCCATTTAAGGCAATCTAAGGCAATTTAAAGCGATTTAAGGCAATTTAAGGCTGTTTAAGGCGATTTAAAGCGATTTAAGGCAATTTAAGGCGATTCAAAGCGATTTAAGGCGATTTAAAGCGATTAAAGGCGATTAAAGGCGATTAACGGCGATTTAAGGCGATTTAAAGCGATTTAAGGCTATTTAAGGCTGTTTAAGGCGATCTAAGGCAATTTAAGGCATTTTAAAGCGATTTACGGCAATTTAAAGCGATTTAAGGCGATTGAAGGCGATTTAAGGCTGTTTAAGGCTATTTAAGGCGATTTAAGGCGATTTAAGGCGATTTAAGGCAATTTAAGGCAATTTAAGGCGATTCAAAGCGATTTAAGGCAGCTTAAGGCAATTTAAAGCTATTTAAAGCAATCTAAGGCAATTTACTCCACTTTATAAGGCGTTTCTTTTGTCATTTTCCTCTCTTCAATATCATTTCCTATTACTGAAGCTATTTTGATAAAGTTTTTGTTTATTTTGAACACTTTCAAATCAAATCAAAGCGAATATCAATTCTGATCACATTCGGATCAAATTTGAGACAAAGAACCCGACTTTGGCATCAATAGCCGCAGAAAAAAAAGGAAAAAAAGGACTTTAGTGCTTATAGGCACTTTTGATAGTTGATCTTTATTTTTTCTATAGCCTCATCCTTTAGTTGTGCAATCTAGTAAATTAAGGATCGTAAAAGCATAGGAAATTTTGCAATTTTGCAACGGCTTAATCAACAAACCGATGATCAACGTATTCGTGCTATTTCTCATTTGTCGATGCAGTGCCACCACAACCACCAGCACATTACCCACAACGCCGATAAGAATAATCAAGGCAAAGATCGATGGAATGATGATACCAATCTGAAAAGATAAGATTTCACATTAAACATCACATTAAACAACTTTAAAATGTCTTTCTTAGCCGGTTTTGAGTTACAGAATGGCCCATAACGATCGTGACAAAGTATTTGAAAGCAATAAGTGCTTGATGTACATTAATATTGGATAAATTTGAGTTCTTTTAAAACTAGAGACTCTTAGCTACAAAATAATACCTTAATTGTGAAAATTGGTCGAGTATTCGCTTCTATTCGAGTGAAACTTGCCACTCAAAGAGTCGAGTCGTGGCCTGTCTACCGAATTTCCTATTTAAAGCCTTTTAAAGCCAACTACCCAACCGAAAATCAAAATGGTTTTGTAGAAATCTTCATTCTCTATCCATTGACATTAAAAATAAGATAATAAGATATATTAGGTTGTCTTTGGACACTTTTGACACTCAAAGAGTCGAGTCGGGGCCCGTCTACCGAATTTCCTATTTAAAGCCTTTTAAATCCAACTACCCAACCGAAAATCAAAATCTTTTTGTAGAAATCTTCATTCTCTATCCATTGACATTAAAAATAAGATATATTAGGTTGTCTTTTGACACTTTTTTGTGTAATTTTTCAAGAAAGAAGTTTCAAGAAAGGGATGGAAGGAGCATCTGACGAAATGTAGACCTTTGACTTACATTTTTCCTCAGAATCTTATCTCTTTAATCATCTGTTTTACTTTTGATGTCATTGGATAGGGAGTGAAGATTTCTACAAAACCATTTTGGTTTTCGGTTGGGTAGTTGGCTCTAAAAGGCTTTAAATAGGAAATTCGGTAGACGGGCCCCGACTCGACTCTTTGAGTGGCAAGTTTCACTCGAATAGAAACGAATACTCGGCCAATTTTCACAATTGAGGTATTATTTTGTAGCTAAGAGTCTCTAGTTTTAAAAGAACTAAACTTTATCCAATATTAATGTACATCAAGCACTTATTGCTTTCAAATACTTCGTCACGATCGTTATGGGTCAGTCTGACGTTTCAGCTCTATTTTAGGAGTTGTTTTGAATGATTTTTCAAGTATTATTCATATGATTACACTTGTGAAAAATCTATTTTTCAATTTCTAATAAAACATTAGCAAACATTAGCAAACCATTTGCTCAAAAGCAACAGTTTCATTGTAGAAAGCTAACACCATGGCCATTTGATCGGGGCTCATTGTGGCAGCTGGAGTCGATGTTGAGATGTTCTCCTCGAGAGAATCGTTCATTTTCTTAAGAAATTATTAGAAATTCTAACGAATTATATAAGAAAATAGATAAATAAAGATAAATAAAGATGAATAAAGATAAATAAAGATAAATAAAGATGAATAAAGATGAATAAAGATAAATAAAGATAAATAAAGCTAATTAAAGCTAAATCTTTGCCCACAACTCACCAATTTCCGTTAAGCTAAACGTTAAGCTAAACAATTAAAGCTAAACGGAAATTGGCGAGTTGTGGGCAATCGAATTACACCCTGAAACGATTCGACCCTGAAAAACCCCGGGATCTACAATCTCCTCTACAATCTCCTCTACAATCTTCTCTACAATCTCCTCTACAATCTCCTCTACAATCTCCTCTACAATCTTCTCTACAATCTCCTCTACAATCTCCTCTACAATCTCCTCTACAATCTCCTCTACAATCTCCTCTACAATCTTCTCTACAATCTCCTCTACAATCTCCTCTACAATCTCCTCTACAATCTTCTCTACAATCTCCTCTACAATCTCCTCTACAATCTCCTCTACAATCTCCTCTACAATCTTCTCTACAATCTCCTCTACAAAATCGGGTAAAACGTGTTTGAATTGGTCGAAGCATTGAAGCAAATTTCGAGGGCGAAATGCGAGTGACCTTAGGGACAAGTTTAATCAAAACCGAACTCTTGTGAAAGTGGGGGAAAACGTTTTAGCCTATTTTGTAGAGGAGATTGTAGAGGAGATTGTAGAGGAGATTGTAGAGGAGATTGTAGAGAAGATTGTAGAGGAGATTGTAGAGGAGACTGTAGAGGAGATTGTAGAGGAGATTGTAGAGGAGATTGTAGAGAAGATTGTAGAGGAGATTGTAGAGGAGACTGTAGAGGAGATTGTAGAGGAGATTGTAGAGGAGATTGTAGAGAAGATTGTAGAGGAGACTGTAGAGGAGACTGTAGAGGAGATTGTAGAGGAGACTGTAGAGGAGATTGTAGAGGAGACTGTAGAGGAGATTGTAGAGGAGATTTACCGTTTGTAGCCGTTTTGTAGCCGTTTTGTAGAGGAGATTTATGACTTTCAAATAGTTTATAACATTCATCGATTCTAGTTTATAACATCAGGTTTCTATCGTTGGAAATTTATGAAAACGTTGAAATCCGCATTTCTTATGCATTTACCTAATAGATCTTCAACTATTCATAGATTTTTTACTGGACCCAGATTTAGATTTAAATTTAAACTAATAGCCGATCGTGTTCGTCCAATGTCGTTCATTTCGAGAAATGAGTGAATTCTTTGCGAGCAAATCGGATCACTCTCCTGACTTCGAGCCGAATCATCGTAAAGCAAGGAACATCGCTCGGATGGGTTTACCTGGAAAATAAAATTGATTTTATTTTAGCTTTTAGTGTGAAGGGAAGGCCAATTGGATGTGCTGACCAAATCACGCGTCAGAGGCCTCGTCCTGCATCTTTACTCACTGCCACTCGGCCACCGCTGCCACTACTTGCGTCACGGAAGACAGGGTGTTGTCATGTCGCGGTTTCATTCTTCATTTTTCATTTTACATTTTTCAAACTCCTTGCAAAACTTTAAACGCGTATAACTTTTGACAGTGTGCTTCTTAGCGAAAAAGAAAGACAGCATCATGATCAGCGTGAAATTCTGCGTCGAACGATATAGGGTTAGCATCCCGTTTCCAAAACGGTCGCACCGGAGAGGGTGCCGGGTTCGATTCCGGACCGGTTCCGAATTTTTTTGTTTTAAATGTTTTTGGGCATGAAGTTGCAAATTTGAAGAAATTGTTATTGCTGTTATTGTTTTTTTTTGCTATTGTTGTTGAGTATTGTTAAACAACTTTAAACGATCGTATTTCTTTGAAATCACCTGTGAGCCGGCTGTCCCTCTCCTAATTGATGTTTGTGTGGGAAGTTGGGATCCGGTTGTGTGTGAGCCGTGGAAATTTGTAATCTAAATTCGCCATCATCCTCAACACTCAAAACAAAATTACACACACTTCAAATCAAAGAATTTGAAAAAAAAAATCACCAAACTCTGATATAACCTGATAGTCTTTTCTACGAGTTGTCTAAAAAAAAAATGATGCTTTGAAATGGCTTTCTTTTGCTTTTCTTTTTTTGCTCTTCCCCCTCACCTCCATTCTGCTCATCGATTTCGGCTCACTTGCACAGAAAAGACCACACGAAACGCGTTTGCACAAAATGCTCAGCACTCGGACGAAGCCTGCAAAAATTGTACTTATTTGTATTTACAATTCGCTTTGTAGTGTACCTTTTCTGAAATTATCTGACATCAACGCGTAGAGAATCGGATTGAGACAAGAATTCGTGTAGGCGAGGACTTGGCTGGCGATTTGAACGATCACCATCGCTTTGCCGCCTCGCAAGACGAGAGTGTCCGGGTAGGCCATGCCTAGATTGAAAGGAAACATTCAGATCACAGATTACTGCAGATTGAGACAGATTCAGAGTAAAAGAGTGAAGAAATAGCCATTTTTTTGGATTATAGAACGTATTAGACTTCGGCAAACAAAACCAAAACCAAAACAGACCAAAACCAAAACCAAAACCAAAACCAAAACCAAAACCAAAACACCAAAACACCAAAACCAAAACCAAAACTCAATTTGCATATAAATTAACATGCAAATTTAAAATTGTAAAATGCAAATTTTAATGTAAAATGCAAATTAGCCTTTCACCTTTTCTCACTCCACAAAATCTTGCGGCCGAAAAAAGGACCAAAACACGACCTCGAAATTTCGAAACAAAAAATAGCCTATGGGATAGATTTTTGGATGCTGATTTCAAATCTGCAAACAGATTTTCGCTAGCTCCTCCCAGTCGCGAGATATTGGCGAGTTTTGGTTAGTTTTGGTTTTGGTTTTGGTTTTGTTATGGTTTTGTTATGGTTTTGGTTTTGTTATGGTTTTGGTTTTGGTAGTTTTGGTTTTGGTTAAGTTTTGTTTTGTTTTCCGAAGTCTAGAACGTATTGCTCATTTATTTTAGGTTTACCCTATAAGGAATCGTTTTTCTTGTGCAAAAAGTGAGCTGAATAAGCTGGATCTGAAAAAAATGGAGCTGAATAATAAATCTCTTTCTCTCTCTCTCTAAATTCTAAGGGAAAGCCTTAGAATTGCCTTAGAATAAAGCCATTCTAAGGGAAAGCCTTAGGAGTTCTTGAAAATGCTGGAAATGGGGAAAAACGCAGAATGTGAACGGGTAAACAAGTCGGAAAAAAAGGAAGAAAGTGGCCAAAGTCGATTGCAGTCGATTTGTCAATAAGAGAATAAAGTGTTCTTGAATTGGTGGATTCGTTTTTAAGAAATTTCCAGTGCTAAAGCTGTGCAAAGATTTCCTTATCAGCCCAAATAATTATAGTCGACTCTCGATTTAACGATTCACTTGAGACGAAACATTTCGCTTTAACGATTCGAAACGATTCTAATGATTCTAACGATTCTAAAAGTGCCAGAAATTTCTTGCGTAGCTGTCTGAACGGCGAACAATTGCGTTTGGCTGAGTGTAGCTGCCCTGAACGGCGAACGACTGCGTTTGGCTGAGTGTAGCTGCCCTGAGCGGCCAACGATTGCGTTTGGCTGGGCGTAGCTGTCTGAACGGCCAACGACTGCGTTTGGCTGAGTGTAGCTGTCCTGAACGGCCAACGATTGCTTTGGCTGGGCGTAGCTGCCCTGAGCGGCCAACGATTGCGTTTGGCTGGGCGTAGCTGTCTGAACGGCGAACTATTGCGTTTGGCTGAGTGTAGCTGTCCTGAACGGCCAACGATTGCTTTGGCTGCGCGTAGCTGCCCTGAACGGCCAACGCTTGGTTTTAGCTAGGCAGCTACGCAGGAAGCAAGGACGTATTTTAGAATTTCACAATCGTTGTATCGAGATCGAGAGTTAAAGCGAGAGTCGACGTTAAATCATATGTGTAAGTAAGCATTTCTCTTGTTTTTAGAATCGAAGCACTTTATCAAATGGTTTGTATTGAAAATGAATCAATTCGGATGTGATCTGGGTAAAAATTTGCAACAATCCTAAGCCACAGAAGCATAAAGAGCTAAGCAATGTGTGCTTGTCATCAACTCTTATCTGATTCTATATGAAAAGAAAATAAACTAAGCTTATAAATCTTATAAAATAAGCTTAGAAAAACTGAGTTATTTAAAGATATCCAGAACTGATTTTTTTAGAAGATTTAGATAGAAATGCCCATCCTAGTTATCGCCTTGAGCTGCCTTTTCATTGCCTATTTAATCTATTACCTTATTTAACTTGTTTATGCATTAAAGCATTTACTAGAGCTTTATTTTATCCTGAGCTTTTATCACTTTTAAAGCCATACCTGAAAAGAAGAAGCAGACATTGAGTGGCAACCAGCAAACCGCCCAAATAATCACCACACAAAGCACCAAACGAGTCACTTTCTTTTTTGCTTTCACAGTTTCCGGTCGGCTTCTGATTGAGCTGTTCAACTAAAATATCAAAAGGCTCATGTACAAGAGGCTTCTGTACAAGAGGCTCCTATACAAGAGTCTCCTGTACAAGAGGCTCCTGTACAAGAGACTCCTATACAAGAGTCTCCTGTACAAGAGGCTCCTGTACAAGAGTCTCTGTCCAAGAGTCTCCTGTACAAGAGGCTCCTGTACAAGAGGCTCCTATACAAGAGTCTCCTGTACAAGAGGCTCCTGTACGAGAGGCTCCTATACAAGAGTCTCCTGTACAAGAGACTCCTGTACCAGAGGCTCCTCTACAAGAGGCAGCTCGAAAATTTCCATTTAGTAAGATTCGATAAAAATTTACGCTATTGCAAGTGCCTGGCCTTGGCGTTTGCCAGAGTCGATTGAGCATAAAATAGTACAGCACACAAGTGATTCCCAATGGTAGAACATAGCCAAAAAGATTGAATGTAAAGAAATACCCTCTTGCCTGAATTTCATGAATTTCATCTTATGATTCTGAAAGTTTACTTGTGCTATCGTAGCCGAATTGTCGGCGATGCTCACAATGGCACATGTCGAGCGATTCTCGATGATGAACTCGTAGTGGAAAATCCCGTGCATGAGGCCGATTGGAATCTTAAAGATCTTTGAGTGTAGTTTGAATGGATTTTGGTGTACTTTGTGCAAATAGAAACACATCTCTGCTGGCGCACTTGTTCACAAAATTAAGAAACGAGTACGTCAGAAAGGGTGAGTGCACAAAGAAGCACAAAGAAAATCTCCCAAAATGACTCCGCTAATTTAGAAAGCTTTCTCTTTCTTTCTTCCTTCTTTCTTCCTTCCTTCCTTCCTTCTTTCCTTCGATCTTCTTTCCTTCTTCCTTCCTTCTTTCTTTCAATCTTCTTTCCTTCTTCCTTCCTTCTTTCTTTCGATCTTCTTGCCTTCTTTCTTTCGATCTTCTTGCCTTCTTTCTTTCAATCTTCTTTCCTTCTTCCTTCCAGCTTTCTTTCCATCTTTCTTCGTTCTTTCTTCCCTCCTTCCTTCCTTCCTTCCTTCTTTCCTTCTTTCTTCCTTCCTTTCTTCTTCCCCCTTGTCTTTCCATCTTTCTCTTGGCAAGTTAAGGTACCCGATAGCTGAGTGGTTAGAGCAATGGCCCAGGAAATAATCCCCCTCCAAAAATCTCGAGGGTTCAATCCCCTCTCCAAAAATCTACCGTAAATACTGTAATAGTACCCCAGCCCCATAATGACGGTGCGGAGTGTTGCGTAGTCTAACTTTGAACGAGTTTTTCTCGACACTGGTTTATGCTACAATGCTCGTTTAGGTATCAAAAAATAGCTGAAATTCAGGGCTATTTTTTGATACCAAAGACGTATTTTTTGAAAGTACGGACGCTTTGAAAAAAATGAAATACTAAAAAACTTTTGCGACTACGCGACTGTACGAGGGGTGTGGGGTACTATTACAGTATTTACCGTACCCTTTCTTGCCAATTTCTTCACTTCCTTTTTACATACCTGAGAAACAAGAATGATTGCATAAACAATGGACATAATGATGACAGTGTTGGTGGTGCTTCGAAGAGTCATCGAATCAACGGGAAAACAAACGGCCAAAAATCGATCCAACGCCATCAATGTGAGCGTCCACACAGAGAAATAGGCGGAAATATGCTGAAAAAAGAATTAGTGGAATTATTGAAATTGCTGAAATTACTGAAATTACTGAAAATGATTGATTGGCTTATTTGCTGAAAGCTTTTCTCTTTAAATCTATTGATTTATCTCATTTATCTCATTTTGATCATTTTGATCTTTTTGATCCTTTTGATCATTTTGATTTACTTGAAAATAGTTGATCATCGAGCAAGTCCATTCTGGGAACACCCAAACGGGCATCGCGTAATCGATTGCCGTGAATGGGATGCATAGCAGGAGAAACATCAAATCCGAGACGGCAAGTCCTGGAAATGATTTCAATAAAATACGTTAACTTGGCACTGTTTCAACTCGAATTTCTCGAACTTGGCACTGTTTCAAATCGAATCTCAACTTGAAAACGTCTTGCGAAAAGTTGACTTTCTGTTCTTCTAAATCGCGAGTCTTTTGCCTGTACTTTTTTACTTTTTACTTTCACTTTCGTCGGATTATTTCGTCGATGATTACTGTTGAAGGCGACTTAAAGCGATTTAAAGTGATTTAAGGCGACTTAAAGTGATTTAAAGCTATTTAAGGCGATTTAAGGTGATTTAAAGCGATTTAAGGCAGTTTAAGGCGATTTAAAGCTATTTAAAGCGATTAAAGGCGATTAAAGGCGATTAACGACGATTTAAGGCAATTTAAGGCGATTTAAAGCGATTTAAGGCAATTTAAAGCGATTTAAGGCAATCTAAGGCAATTTAAAGCCATTTAAGGCAATCTAAGGCAATTTAAGGCGATTTAAAGCGATTTAAGGCTATTTAAGGCTGTTTAAGGCAATCTAAGGCAATTTAAAGCCATTTAAGGCAATCTAAGGCAATTTAAAGCCATTTAAGGCAATCTAAGGCAATTTAAAGCCATTTAAGGCAATCTAAGGCAATTTAAAGCCATTTAAGGCAATCTAAGGCAATTTAAAGCCATTTAAGGCAATTTAAGGCTGTTTAAGGCGATTCAAAGCGATTTAAGGCGATTTAAAGCGATTAAAGGCGATTTAAGGCAATTTAAGGCATTTTAAAGCGATTTAAGGCAATTTAAAGCGATTTAAGGCGATTGAAGGCGATTTAAGGCAGCTTAAGGCAATTTAAAGCTATTTAAAGCAATCTAAGGCAATTTACTCCACTTTATAAGGCGTTTCTTTTGTCATTTTCCTCTCTTCAATATCATTTCCTATTACTGAACCTATTTTGATAAAGTTTTTGTTTATTTTAAACACTTTCAAATCAAATCAAAGCGAATATCAATTCTGATCACATTCGGATCAAATTTGAGACAAAGAACCCGACTTTGGCATCAATAGCCGCAGAAAAAAAAGGAAAAAAAGGACTTTAGTGCTTATAGGCACTTTTGATAGTTGATCTTTATTTTTTCTATAGCCTCATCCTTTAGTTGTGCAATCTAGTAAATTAAGGATCGTAAAAGCATAGGAAATTTTGCAATTTTGCAACGGCTTAATCAACAAACCGATGATCAACGTATTCGTGCTATTTCTCATTTGTCGATGCAGTGCCACCACAACCACCAGCACATTACCCACAACGCCGATAAGAATAATCAAGGCAAAGATCGATGGAATGATGATACCAATCTGAAAAGATAAGATTTCACATTAAACATCACATTAAACAACTTTAAAATGTCTTTCTTAGCCGGTTTTGAGTTACAGAATGGCCCATAACGATCGTGACAAAGTATTTGAAAGCAATAAGTGCTTGATGTACATTAATATTGGATAAATTTGAGTTCTTTTAAAACTAGAGACTCTTAGCTACAAAATAATACCTTAATTGTGAAAATTGGTCGAGTATTCGCTTCTATTCGAGTGAAACTTGCCACTCAAAGAGTCGAGTCGGGGCCCGTCTACCGAATTTCCTATTTAAAGCCTTTTAAATCCAACTACCCAACCGAAAACCAAAATTGTTTTGTAGAAATTTTCATTCTCTATCCATTGACATTAAAAATAAGATATATTAGGTTGTCTTTTGACACTTTTTTGTGTAATTTTTCAAGAAAGAAGTTTCAAGAAAGGGATGGAAGGAGCATCTGACGAAATGTAGACCTTTGACTTACATTTTTCCTCAGAATCTTATCTCTTTAATCATCTGTTTTACTTTTGATGTCATTGGATAGGGAGTGAAGATTTCTACAAAACCATTTTGGTTTTCGGTTGGGTAGTTGGCTTTAAAAGGCTTTAAATAGGAAATTCGGTAGACAGGCCACGACTCGACTCTTTGAGTGGCACGTTTCATTGGATAGATGATGTCATTGATGTCATTGGATAGGGAGTGAAGATTTCTACAAAACCATTTTGATTTTCGGTTGGGTAGTTGGCTCTAAAAGGCTTTAAATAGGAAATTCGGTAGACGGGCCACGACTCGACTCTTTGAGTGGCAAGTTTCACTCGAATAGAAACGAATACTCGGCCAATTTTCACAATTGAGGTATTATTTTGTAGCTAAGAGTCTCTAGTTTTAAAAGAACTAAACTTTATCCAATATTAATGTACATCAAGCACTTATTGCTTTCAAATACTTCGTCACGATCGTTATGGGTCAGTCTGACGTTTCAGCTCTATTTTAGGAGTTGTTTTGAATGATTTTTCAAGTATTATTCATATGATTACACTTGTGAAAAATCTATTTTTCAATTTCTAATAAAACATTAGCAAACATTAGCAAACCATTTGCTCAAAAGCAACAGTTTCATTGTAGAAAGCTAACACCATGGCCATTTGATCGGGGCTCATTGTGGCAGCTGGAGTCGATGTTGAGATGTTCTCCTCGAGAGAATCGTTCATTTTCTTAAGAAATTATTAGAAATTCTAACGAATTATATAAGAAAATAGATAAATAAAGATAAATAAAGATAAATAAAGATGAATAAAGATGAATAAAGATAAATAAAGATGAATAAAGATGAATAAAGATGAATAAAGATAAATAAAGCTAATTAAAGCTAAATCTTTGCCCACAACTCACCAATTTCCGTTAAGCTAAACGTTAAGCTAAACAATTAAAGCTAAACGGAAATTGGCGAGTTGTGGGCAATCGAATTACACCCTGAAACGATTCGACCCTGAAAAACCCCGGGGTACAAATTTAGAGCTAAATATCTTGATATAGATATAAGCATGATATAGAGCTTCTGCCAAAGAGGTTGGATTTGGGGAGAGGGAAAGAAATAAAGCTTTAAGAAGTAGATCACTTTTCAAGTAGATCACATCCACTTTTCCGTATAAACTTAAATGCTCGTTTGAAGCGTCTTTTGATCGGGACACACATTCGAGAATTTCACGAAAGGTGATTGACGGAGCTGAGCCGCCTAAATTGACGGCAATATTGAAAACTAGATAAATTGATAAAGGAAGCGAAATCTCGTTTGTTGAACAACAAGTCAATGACTGGAGCCGATTGGAGCCAATTTTTGGATGTGAATAGGAGTGTTCTCAAGAAAAAACAACCCAAGAAAGGTTAAAATCAAGTTATTCTAAAAAATTACCTCTAAAAATTACTAAAAAAAAACGAATTTAAGAAGTTTCTTTTGGTGAAAATTCGAATTGGATAGAAATTCAGGGGTAAGATTGGCAAAATAACAATTTTTACCGCAAATTTGCGTAACTAAACCAGAAATTTAGCTCAAAGTTATTCGAGTTTTCAAAAGCTATACCTTTCAAGTTGTTTAATGTACCCTAAAGTCGCGAGTATAAGTTCTGTTTGGTTTTCGCATGCAAATTGACGGCTGTCTCCGGTGCGGTGTGTCGAGGGTTCGAACCCCGCTGCAGCATAACTTTTTTTGCTTTTTAAGAACAATAATAGAAGTAAATTTATTGAGGGTTATAGCAATTTTATGCTGTTATTTGTTGCTGTTATGGCTGTTATTTGTTGCTCCGGGCGTGACTCGGCGCGTCCGCCCTGCTCCTCTCCGGTGCTCAGTCTTATGGATCCCTCCCTCCCTGTCTGTCCGTCTGTCTGTCCGTCTGTCTGTCCGCCTGTCTGTCCGTCTGTCTGTCCGTCTGTCTGTCCGTCTGTCTGTCCGTCTGTCTGTCCGTCTGTCTGTCCGTCTGTCTGTCCGCCTGTCTGTCCGTCTGTCTGTCCGTCTGTCTGTCCGCCTGTCTGTCCGCCTGTCTGTCCGTCTGTCTGTCCGCCTGTCTGTCCGTCTGTCTGTCCGTCTGTCTGTCCGTCTGTCTGTCCGTCTGTCTGTCCGTCTGTCTGTCCGCCTGTCTGTCCGTCTGTCTGTCCGTCTGTCTGTCCGCCTGTCTGTCCGTCTGTCTGTCCGTCTGTCTGTCCGCCTGTCTGTCCGCCTGTCTGTCCGTCTGTCTGTCCGCCTGTCTGTCCGTCTGTCTGTCCGTCTGTCTGTCCGCCTGTCTGTCCGTCTGTCTGTCCGTCTGTCTGTCCGCCTGTCTGTCCGTCTGTCTGTCCGTCTGTCTGTCCGTCTGTCTGTCCGTCTGTCTGTCCGTCTGTCTGTCCGTCTGTCTGTCCGTCTGTCTGTCCGTCTGTCTGTCCGTCTGTCTGTCCGTCTGTCTGTCCGTCTGTCTGTCCGTCTGTCTGTCCGCCTGTCTGTCCGTCTGTCTGTCTCCTCATCCGGCCAAAGTCCACGTCGACGGTCGAAAGAGATGCTTTCCAACGTCTTCTTCAACACTATCGTCTGGATGTATCCATAACAAATAGCAATGGTGATAGGCCTGTAGTATCCCGCGCTCCAAGAACAATAATAAAAGTTTATATAACAATAAAAATGTATAAAAACCCAACAAAAAGAAATTCAAAGCAATTAAAGCGAATTTTACATTCGCTTTAATTGCTTTGCTTAAGGCAGAACTTATACTCGAGACTTTAGGGTAAAAAGATTTAGTCTTTGCCTTGGACAAACTCTAAATCTCCTTGCAATTTGAATTGAATGCTGCCCGATGCTTTGAATTGAATGCTCTGCCTAGTTGTCCGATCTTGCCTCAGTCAAATTATCCCCTGTTTTTCCCATGAAATATTCATTTTGAGGGAAATTCACTGAAAAGCTATTGATTAAACGAAAAATATTTAAGAAATTGAAGAAATTGAAGAAATATTAGTTATATAACTGAAAACAATTCAATAAAAAACGATGTCCTCTTTTTTTCTAGTCATTAACTTTTTACGAGGTGTTAGACAACGGGTTTTTTGGAATGATAACAAAAAAAACTATTTTAGAAACAAGAAAAGAAACAAGAAACAAGAAAAGAACAAGGAAAGAAACAAGAGAAGAACAAGAAAAGGAACAAGAAAAGAAACAAGAAAAGAGCAAGGAAAGGACCAAGGAAAGGACCAAGGAAAGGAACAAGAAAAGGACCAAGGAAAGGACCAAGGAAAGGACCAAGGAAAGGACCAAGGAAAGGACCAAGGAAAGGAACAAGAAAAGGAACAAGAAAAGGAACAAGAAAAGAAACAAGAAAAGAGCAAGAAAAGGAACAAGAAAAGAAACAAGGAAAGAACAAGAAAAGAAACAAGAAACAAGTAAAAAACAAGGAAAACCTTTTATTGGATTATTGAATTAGATTTTGATTGATTCTTTGTCCAATTTAAAGTTGAATTTCTTAGAAATCTTGAAGTCAAGTCAAGTTGAATTTCTTAGAAATCAATCCTGAAGATTAGGCACTTTTCTGGATGATTCATCTGTGACTAAACTAGTTCAAAGCAAACATTTTACAAAACTCGTAGAAGAGAGAAGCAAAAGAATAAGATTTTACAAAAAGAAACCAAATAACATAAAACTAGTGCTAGCTAGCAATCTTTATCTTGAGATTCTCCAAATCAATTCACTAAATCAATTCTCCAAATCAATTCACCAAATCAATTCTCCAAGTCAATTCTCCAAATCAATTCACCAAATCAATTCTTCAAATCAATTCTTCAGCTCAATTCCTCAAATTAATTCTCAATCAATTTCAATCAATCAATCTTTATCTTTATTCTTAAAAGGTTCTTTTACTGTAAGCGTCAAGTGATGTGTGTTTAAAAGAAATTTCCATTAACAAATCGCATTTTCGAATACAGTAGTACTTTCTCCACGAGTTTTTAGCTAAATTTGCTTGTATTAGGTTGGAAAGGGAGTTCGTCGAACATCGTAGATTTAGTATTAGGTTAGAAAGGAAGTTCGTTGATCTTGTATTAAGTTGGAAAGGAAGTTCGTCGATCTTGCATTAGGTTGGAAAGAAAGTTCGTCGAACATCGTAGATTTTGTATTAGGCTAGAAAGAAAGTTCATCGATCTTGTATTAAGTTGGAAAGAAAGTTCATCGATCTTGTATTAGGTTGAAAGAAAGTCTTTGATTTCTCTGATTTCTTTGATAAAGCATCAGAGACAATCGCTGATAAAGGAATTTGTTCACTTCGCGCACCGCTACCATTTTTGATGGATTCCTTTAGAAAAAAAAGTCTATTGGAAGTTTCTCCGATTGATCGCTTAAATGAAAGCTTAAAGCAAGCAAAAGCAAACAAAAGCTTTGATGAAATTCACTTTCTAGCTTTATTTGTGATTTCTTTGAAGATTTCTTTGGAGCTTCTCAAGAGCTGCTCATCTTCGACATGTCATTTTCTTCGTCAAAGTTCCAGTCAATGAGGTTCATGAAGAGATTAATATTGTTTATGGGCAAGACTCAAGAGGTCTATCAATCGTATACAAATGGTATCATCGTTTCAAGAATGACTTTTCTTTGGAGCTAAGGACTGAGCTAAGGACTGAGCTAATGGCTGAGCTAATGGCTGAGCTAAGGACTGAGCTAAGGACTGAGCTAAAGACTGAGCTGAGCCAGTGATTTCGATGAAACAGCTCTTGTCAATCTTTGTCAATCTATCAATCATATCAAATAAACAATCTTTTGCAAATCGATAACAAACAATCACCTAGGAAATTAGAGACAAAAGAAAAATTGAAGGAGTTAGAGTGAATTTCCCTCATCTCCCTTAGTCTGATTCTGATTTTCATCTTTTCGGGAAGCTAGCTGCAGAACTCGCCAATGAGCTAAGGACTGAGCTAATGACTGAACTAATGACTGAGCTAATGACTGAACTAATGACTGAGCTAAGGACTGAGTTAATGACTGAGCTAATGACTGAGCTAAGGACTGAGCTGAGCGCTGAGCTGAACGCTGAGCTGAGCGCTGAGCTGAGCGCTGAGCTGAGCGCTGAGCTGAGCGCTGAGCTGAGCGCTGAGCTGAGCGCTGAGCTGAGCGCTGAGCTGAGCGCTGAGCTGAGCGCTGAGCTGAGCGCTGAGCTGAGCGCTGAGCTGAGCGCTGAGCTGAGCGCTGAGCTGAGCGCTGAGCTGAGCGCTGAGCTGAGCGCTGAGCTGAGCGCTGAGCTGAGCACTGAGCTTAACGCTGAGCTGAGCGCTGAGCTGAGCACTGAGCTGAGCGCTGAGCTGAGCGCTGAGCGGAGCGCTGAGCTGAGCACTGAGCTTAACGCTGAGCTGAGCGCTGAGCTGAGCGCTGAGCTGAAACATATGATCCATTTACCCCATTCTAAGCACCTTTCAGCAAAAATCTTTTTCAAAATTAGTGACTTTTTAGGTGATCAATGTTGTAGGGGGACGGTGCGCTTCTATTAGAGTAATTACAGGATCTATTTGTTCAAAAGTGGCGATAGTGGACGAACAGTGAGATCTTTTGATCTCTTTTGATCATTACTTATAAAAACCGATGCTCAGATAACGCAGATATCACTTTACTGCCTCGAGAAAGAAGGGAACTTCTGTGTTTCTCCGCTCGAGTGTGACGGTGATTGGAGTAGTTGTTTGGGAAAGATTTAATTGGTTAGCCCTTGGATCAGAT